GGTCATCTTCTCATTCCATGCGTCTCTCCCCACTACACTGCTCCAGCGTGGCTGCTGACCTTCCCTTGCAGCCTGTGTTGACATAACAGACAAGACCTCATAAATCAACTATTGGTGTTTCACAAAGGGGAGCCATTTGCTTTGAGCCTCCCAGCAGAGAAAGAAAACAGGTTGTGTGAGAGTTTTATTTGTTTTCCTCTCCAGGTTCAGCCCCAAGATGGCTCTTCTCTTGGGCCAAAGACTCAGATGCTACAAACGGAAGATACAAAGGTCAGATGCCACCATGAAATAAGAGGGGACATTTCTCTCTGTCTTTTTGGCACTTGCAATGAAACTATTAACTGGTGATGAGATGGAGGAGAAGCAGGAATATGGAACATATTTTATGGCTCCTGATTGACCAACAAAGCTTGAAAAAAAGTTTTTTCTTCTTCATAAAACTCACAGAATCTTGCTGCCGGCATTTCTTGCTCCTCCTTTTTCAATACAGCTTGGGAAAGGTCCTTATTTTGAAATATAACTTGCAAGATTCCCTAACTAGCAAGGCCATGATGGCTCGGGGATTCTGGGAATTGTAGTCCCCCCCCCTCAAAAAAAAAAACAGTTCCAAGCTCTGCTGATTAATTTATCCCACACTGAAAATATGTGAATTCTACTTGCATGATACTGTCTGGGGAATTATAGAAGGTGCAGTTAATCCCCCCTCCCAATACGTACTCCAAGCTCTGCTGAGCAAATTCTCCTAGTCACAAATGTGAGAATTTTAATCTTTGATTGATGCGAAAACACATCAGTAAAATAACACTTGCAAACAGATTCCTTAATATTTGAGAATATGAAGTGGTGTTGCTATGCCCTTTCTACCACCCAGTCCACTTAAGGCTTGGAGTGAGAAAATGCAGCCCCCTACCCATTTTAACTTGCCAGAAATGGTAGCCACAATGCTTTCCTATTCACTCTGGCTATGCTGAACTTTCCTTTCCGATTTTTTCTTCTTTCTGCTTTAAAATGTATTTTACATTCAGCAAATGTGTCTGTATTTGGATCACAATTTTATTGAAACCTTGATCATACCATTATCCAAACCAGAAACATTCATTAAAGCACGCATAAACCCCTGAACTCATTTTCTTGAAATAAGAGCCCTGAGTTGAATTCATAAATCTGGAAGTAAAATTATGGACAGACATCTTATAACAGTATTATTTCAATAAATTCATTATACACTTTGCTTGATGCCTTAGTCCTCAACCTCATAGCATTGCTACTGTTTGCACCTTCTTACGTGATGCATCAAGAAGATGGCAGACCTAAAGAGCATGGACAGAGTGCAAGATTTCATATGTGCACCTGTCTTTCTAAAAGCCAATCCCTATGCAAATATTACTTGAAATTAGAGTTCACTACAAATTATTTTTTGCTAGCTTGTCTAGTTAAACTATATTACAGATCAGCATTAGGTACACAGAGAAGATGGAGACAGATGTAGTCGTCGTCATTTAGTCGTTTAATCGTGTCCGACTCTTCGTGACCCCATAGACCAGAGCACGCCAGGCCCTCCTATCTTCCACTGCCTCCCGGAGTTGTGTCAAATTCATGTTGGTTGCTTCGCAGACACTGTCCAGCCATCTCATCCTCGGTCGTCCCCTTCTCCTCTTGCCATCACACTTTCCTAACATCAAGTTTTTTTCCAAGGCGTCTTCTCTTCTCATGAGATGGCCAAAGTACTGGAGCCTCAGCTTCAGGATCTGTCCTTCCAGTGAGAACTCAGATTTGATTTCCTTTAGAATGGATAGGTTTGTTCTCCTTGCAGTCCAGGGGACTCTCAAGAGCCTCCTCCAGCATCACAATTCAAAAGCATCCATTCCTCGGCGGTCAGCTTTCTTTGCCTAGGACCCTACAAATTCAGTGGGAGGTTGATCCCAATAGTTCTGAAAAAGATTATGGGATGTGGGAGAGGCTACATCCATAGCCTCTGGTCAGGATTGCAGCCTCAACTCCATGCACCATTAGGTGCACAGAAGCATCAGTCTGCTGCTTCAGCGGTTGATGGTAAGGAAAAGCTAAAATCTCCTCCTCTGCTGAGTGATCCCCAACAGGTTTGTAGTTTCTTGACGCAAAAGTGATGGGGCAACAGTGAAGCCAGCTGCTGTGAGTCCCAGTAACCCCACTTGTGTATGTGGAGGACGGGAGATAATACAGGGAGGTTCATGAGGGCCACTGTCCTTTCCATTGAAAGAATGGAGAAATTTAGAAATTTGGGATGTTCTTACCAAAAACTGAATCAAACTTTTGAAACCATTCTTACCTCAATAAATAGCCATGTATTCAAAGTCAAACTATTTCCAATACAGAGTAAAAAAAGTTACTTTTCTTAACTCTAAACCTCAGAATCTCCCAAACAGCATGGGCAGAGGGTATGATGAATAAAGAGGTTCTGGGCCTTGTTATTTTTTAAAAAATAACTTTTTGAAGCTCTTTCTCAATATGCTTAAAGTACTACATCTTGTAATGAGGGTGAAAGAGGAGAGTGCAAAAAACAGTCTGAAACTCAACATCAAAAAAACTAAGATCATGGCCACTGGTCCCATCACCTCCTGGGAAATAGAAGGGGAAGATATGGAGGCAGTGTCAGATTTTATCTTCCTGGGCTCCATGATCACTGACGATGGAGACAGCAGCCATGAAATTAAAAGACGCCTGCTTCTTGGGAGGAAAGCGATGACAAATCTTGACAGCATCTTAAAAAGCAGAGACATCACCTTGCCAACAAAAGTCCGAATAGTCAAAGCTATGGTTTTTCCTGTCGTGATGTATGGAAATGAGAGCTGGACCATAAAGAAGGGCCTGGCGTGCTCTGGTCTATGAGGTCACGAAGAGTTGGACACGACTAAACGACGAGGCAAAGTACCAAGTAGAGTTTTTCCCTGCAGAGTTTCATCCACGGAGCAGACACTATTCTCTAGTCTTCTTCCTCCTCCCATGTAGAGAAGGGTATGAGGAAGCAAAGGTTCTCAGCCTGCGCTTCTAGCAATATTTAGAAGCATTGGCTGAAGATGCTTAGTTGTCCTTCCTTTCTCTCTTCCCTGTGCTGAGAGGCAACCAGGAGCGCTGGCTAGAAGGTTGGATGGTCATCCCACCTCCTCTCTCCTTCTGCAGGGAATGTGTGGTGGGGAACCATATTCTCGCACATGGAATTTCCAGCATCCAGGGGTCCTGGACTTAAACTCAGCCAGCTCTTGGAGTACAGGTTTACAGTGGAACAAGAAGTCTATGTGATCTTCAATGAGCAACTGAAATTGCTGTTACTAAAGTCCTACTTTCATCTCCAAATAAAGGGTGTAGAGTATTTAATTGATGGTGGGCCATCACTTTTGTTAGGAAGATTAGTTGTCAGTTAACAGCTCAAATTTGTTAATCTGTAAATTGCTACAGATTTTTTATTGGTGTTGTGTAAGCAGCTGCAGGCACTGCTGCTGCGGTTCTGGAGAGAAGCTGAGAAAGAGCGGGGGGAGAAAGAGGGAGAGTGAAAGAGCAGTAAATTGGCACCTTGAGAGCATAATACAGCCTGCCCCAACTTGGGGCATTCCAAAAATTGATCTTTTGAGTCAAAGTACAGCCTTCCTTCTTTACTGTTTGGTGTGATTTACTCAGCATGAAAATCTAGAATATTTTAAAGAAACAAGGAAAAGCATTGAAATAAAGGGAGACATGCAGAAAATAAAATGCAAATGGAAGAGTAGGCAGTACCTATATGGACCATTAAAAATCATCATACAATACCTGAGCTTTTGTGGCCTTGGTCCATGAAAGCTCGCATATTATATGATGACTTTTAAAGTTGATTATTCAGATGTTCATGAATCATTTAGATACTTTTTTTTTCTTTTCTGCTATGAAAACCATGTGTCCTGCTATCATGGAAACACCGTGGAATTCAAAGAAGCATTTAGTAACCATGATATGTCCAACACTTGGAATAAACTGGCTTACAATCAAAATCCGCCAGGTTTGTATTTCTTGAGTGCTTGAGTAAGCTCTGGCTTCATTCCAATAAGTTTTAATATTTTCCTAATTCAAACTGAGACTAATTTCAGGGGCATCAATATTTTCTCTGTGTATGCATCCTGCAGGGCCAAACATCCAGATCCCACCACCTTTATTTGTGTGACAACTAACAGCCACTCAAGGCTGCAGTGGAACACATCAAAGAACCTCAAATGACACACAATTCATTTTCAAGATACACATGTGGGAATGTGTAAAGGCCACTTTAAAGCTAGTAACAACAGAGAACATTCACTCCAATTGATAAAGATGTATTTGTGACTTATAAAGCATGAGCAAATTACGAATTATGATAGGACAGGTTTTCTTATAACTCCTGACAAGATCCTCTGGAAAAGTCATTAGCAAACACACATACAAAGATCCCTCTGGTCACAAAATCAGCCGTCAGGAAAGCATGCCTTTAAACCAAAAGACCACAAGTTTTGTAGCATTTTAGAACTGGTGTATGGGGCAACTCAAATTTCTCTCTTAGTCTTTGATCAAGGCTCACCCCTGCCCTGAAGTCTTTGCATCAAATCCCTTTTGCATTGAGTTGGAGGCATAAGATCCCAGCTTTTAAATAAATCTTTGTATTTAAGTATCTATACTCTTTTAGCATATTTGTCTCTCTCACACACACACACACACACACATCTAGTCCCTTTTAAACCCTTTTGGTTTACTTCCCTTGAGCTGGTACAAATTTTTCTAAATTGAAAATGTGGGATTTTTGTTTCTTTACTATGCAATAAAAATAACTTTGGAGTGTGAGAAGGAAACATTAAACTCCCCTTGCCTATATGAGTGTGTGTGTGCATTCCTCCTCTATTTTTTTTTAAAGTACAGACAATGTTTCTTTAAAAGTCTCCATCTGCAGTTCACATTAGATGCGCCTCTAAGGTTTCGGGTGATTAATAGCCACATGCTTGGCTTTGGTTGGAGGGGTTGAGCTTGCAGGTTAAGCCCTCCCTCCTCCTCCTCCTCCTCCTCTCACCCTCAATGTCTCTCACATTTCCCTTCCTAAACTTGTCACTCACACCCCAGCAAAGTATTTAAAAAGTGTTCTCTGGACTTTGGCAGTTCATAGCAAGGAAGCTCCAGGCTTTAGAAGCAACAACAGAGAGGTGAAGTCCTCCTGGTGAAGATTTATGGAGAATTTTCCTGGTCTTCGTCTTCAACCCACAGACCCATGACAGAGCCAAAGGAACACGCTGGAGAGCTTTCTACTCACCAGAAGGGACTCCTTTCGATTCGGTTGGTTTCTGGCAAAAACTGAGCCTTCGCTTCCTCTAGCAACTGTGATTTCATTGATGAGCCTTCTATGATAGAAGAGTGTTCCCACAGCTAGATGGATCCACCTGCTGCAGGAAGCTGCATGAGAAACGCTCACCCCACGGCTACGCTTTGGGGGTGTCTGAGGAACCCGCATGCCGAGGCTGGGGGAGGAATGCCTGCCCTGCCCCATTACCCACAAGCCCCCTTTTCTTTCCACCATAAGCCAGACTTTGGGGTGTATTCAGACTTTTCCACCTCCTGTCTGGCTGCAGCCCCCCAAAGCATCCCTCGTGATGAGCGGGCTTTTGCAGATGAGCGCCATCCCTCCTTCCAGCACCCGGCCTGGCATTTCACCGCATCGGAGGGTCAGAGGCGGCTCACCGCAGAGCTGGCTTTAGGGACGGGAGAACCGGAGAACAGCAACCCTAACATGGTGGATGCCACCATGGGCACGAGTGAAGATTACATCTTGGCAAAGAATGTGGCAAATGAAATGGAGAAAAAAACATCCAGAAGGAAAAAGGGAGATGCAGGTAGGTGAAATTTTAAGTAGCCGTTCTCAAATGTGTTTGTTTAAGTGTCTGGTTTTATTCATATGTATCCTGGCTTCCAGCCCAGAATCTATTGAAATATAAACTAAAACTGTTTAAATATACTATCATCATCATCACCATTATTGAAGGGAAACAAAATTCGCAGAGATACAAAGGAGGTCAGAGAAAATCAGATACAGTACATTCTTTATTTCAGTTAAAAAGTATGGTTATCTCCAACACATGGCAATTTTTTGAAAAGGTGGCTGGTTTTGAGGTTGGTGATATTGCACAATGGAGCACTGTGTTTTGTTTTAATTAAAGCAACCCACCTAAATATCAATAATGAGGGGAATCAATCAGGGTTTTTTTGACAGGAAAATATTCTACAACCTGGGCACCACCACAGAGAAGGCCTTGTCCTGTGCCCCAACCAGTTTGCTCCCCATTGGAAATAAGGAACACGGGAAAGCTTCCAGTTACAGAATGCAGACAGGGAATCAAAGTGGTCTGTGGAATCAAAAGCAAATTTGGACTGAATTTGATTGCTGCCCATATGATATTGAAGGGACTGGGCACATCTACCTTACAAATGGAATCCGTTTAGAAATTAGTTTAAATAGCATTTCCTGCTATTTCATTCCCACTATTTAATGTCGGGAATTATAGATCTGGGTAGCTACTGGGTTGTCCTTGTTAACAATCTTGCTGGATAGAAGTGTTACAGAAACTGGAATATTGCTCCTTCTCATGGTACCTGCTACACCTGCTTTACTACAAGCTTCTGCCTCGTTTCACATCATAGAACCAACACAAATTCCAGATATGAAAACTGCACCCAAAATGTAACTATAAACAAGCTATCGATCCTCAGACCTTACTTCTTGAACCAAAAGGCTCAGGGGGACAGAAAACGTGACTGAAAAAAGAACACAGATTCCATTTAAGAGTGTAACCATCTCCATTTAAGAGTGTAACCATCTTGGAACTCGGTGATGTTGGCATACTTTTCCTTCAAGAGACATAACAACCTGGGGCTTTTCCTGCCCTTTTTCTCCGCTGCTGTCCTTCCTTGCTCATCTGCAGTGCTTCTTGCAAGATGAAAGAGGAATCACACTTAAGACAGGTAGAGAAAGAAAGTGGCCAATGAAGGAGACTCACAGAATCATGGCAGAAGGAGCCACAGCTACAACACAGGGTATTGCTTTGTCACCTTTAAAGGCAGGTGCGTGCCTTTAACCCAGGTGATCACAATTCCAAGGTAACTCAACTCAGAGGGGATCAACACTAGATCATGATACCATTTATCTGCTGTTATTCCCTCCTATACAATCTGTAGCTTATTGAGAGAATTCTGTCTGTGACCTTCAGGGTATGATCAGATGGCTGCAAAGGCTCAGGCCTGATTGCACCAAAAAGGGTAGTTTTACCTTTAATCTCCTTTAAAGCTATCTTTCCATCTGCTGGGGAATCATTCCAGTCTGGACTCAAAAAGTGGAAGCCCAAAAAGGTCCCGCTTGGGCACAGATCAAGGTCAGGCCAAAATATATTTCTCCATATGTTGTGTGATCACCAGGAAATAGACTGCACTGGATCACTCCACAAACGATCCAAATTGCAATTGATTTCCCAATATGATCACGGTCCAGCTTGGGCACAGATTGAGGTCAGACCAGAATATATTTCCCCATATGTTGTGTGATCACAAGGAAATAGACTGTACTGGATCGCTCCACAAACGATCCAAATTGCAACTGATTTCCCAATATGATCACACCATTACTATTATAGAAACCAAAAGCTAATCCCCCCTCCGGAAATAAAATACAAATGGAAGGATGTTTACACATTTGCAGGTGCTCTGTTGTTACAGTTCTCATTTATGGTACCTTACTGAGTAGGGGAAACAGGGGATTAGAAGAAACACCCTGACATGCTAGTAGATGCTCAATGTCCCAGATGAATAATTTGTTTCAAATGAGGTATGAGATGGTACATCATAATTAAAGGAGCACATAAGGCTTGAGGAACTTGCATTCTTATTGTTATGGAAAGCCAATAGCCCACCAAAACTAACTCTGAATCCCACCAATGATCCATGTGCCACTAGTTGAAAACCACAGTTATAGCGCATTCCCCAGAACTATTGCTACTTTGCATGAAGGAGGTATCATGGATAATTTTCAGCTTCCCCAGAACTATTGCTACTTTGCATGAATTATCATGGATAATTTTCAGGATCTTTGCATTTAAAGATTCAGGAAATGAGTGGTGGCATGAGACAGGTTCCACAAAATCACTTAGGGTGGCCAGAAGTTTGAAGACATTCTCTCTGTTTAAAAAAAATGTCCAGTCCAAGTCCTGGTTACAGATCAAAGTTCTAAGATGGGAAAGCCAAAATGGGCCAAGACAAGTTAGTACCAGGACTGCAGCTGAGCAGACCCATAGATCACTGGTCACATCTCTCTCAATGGGGAAATGCATCTTATGCAAATTACACTATTTCCTAACTAGCTTGTATCCATGTAGGTTTGCACATGGAAATTGTATACAAACCACTTTTTATTTTAAAAAAATTCTCTTTCTTGGACATGTAACTAAGCATTCTTTGGGCATTGTTGCTTGCAATGGGCCATACATCTTTTCCCCTGCCCCACATCTCAGCTTAAGTTTATGCAGCAGTAGGGGATTGGGAGTTTGAGGTTCCCAGAATTCCCTGGAAAAATGACAGGAGCATTTTTGAGGAAGTTGCTATGTTGGTTTGCAGATTGCAATCCTGTTGCTGTTTATTGGTAAGGTCAGGTTAGGGCATTTTAATGCTTGTGGCAAAGGACAAGATGGCAGCTATGTACAGAGACCAATTGTACTGGCAAGCTGAATCTTCCTTCCATGCTTGGAATGGAATAGGGCCTGCCAGAAAAACTTGAAATTAACAGGCCTGTTTTGGAGGTGCAGAACAGTATCAGTGGAACACATTGCTTTCCCCTTCCAGGCAGGGTAACTGCCAGGGAGACCATGAGGAGCAATTGGATTTGTTGCTTCAGGTGCTTGCCTTACTCTGCCAAACAGTAGGGCCGATTCTGTTCATTGCTGTCCCTAAGTCTGCTTTTGTCAAAGTGCAGAGGAGTTTGCTGAAGTCTTCCTTGAACCTGAGGTTGCCTTTGATTGAAATACCGGGTATTGGACAGCTTCCTTTTGTCCATTCCAGTTCCTCTCTTTCATTCTTCCTTATGAGCTGAAACACATGCAGTAAGTTTCTTTTGGATGTATTTTAATGCTAGATAGCAGGAACATTTGGCTCATATAACCCAGACTTGCATCCCAAGCCAGGAAAATATATAGCCAACAGCCCCCATCTGAGGCCAAAAATACTGAGACTGAGATGATGGGTTTCCTTTAGAAATCCCCCAGTTCATGCTTCAGATCTTGTTCAACAGACAAAGAAAGGTCGTGATGAATGCTTAATTGGAGTCAATGTCTGCTCTGAATGTCAGAGCCCATACTGGAATTGGGGAGACACTTAAGATGAACAGAATATAGCTAGGCAGCCCAGAGGGTTTTTTAATTTCCCAGTGGGAGAATCTGTCCCATATTCTATGTTTAAAATCTTTTGTTCCAAACTTATGATTTCCAATTTTTGGTACTGTTGTATCCAGCCTTGAAAGGACCAGGTTGTATCAAAGTGCCATGTAAGTGTTAAAATGAGGAGCCTGGGGGTGTGTGGCAAACTGAATTTAGGAGGATTGTAATTGAATGCTTAAGGAGGGGAATCCAGACTTTTAAGAGTGGAGTACTCAAAACCAGCTCTGGGCTTAGATGGATGCATTTGTCAGTTTCGGTTTCTCACACATTGCATTTTAAAAAAATATTCAAAATGAAGAAATGTGGAAACTTTGGTCACCTCCTCTAAAAATAAGCTGAAACAAAATTTACATCTTCATGAACAAAGTCTAATTCAATTCAGCACCACAGGAATGGGGTTTTTGAAACTTGCCTAATCTATATCAAGTAGTTTGGGGATTGTTGCAAGATATTTTTTTCAGACATGACTTGCAGCCAAAAATAGTGATCAATGGTAGAGATAAGAAGAATTTAAGGAAGACATAATTTTTTTAGCACTGGAATTTGGCATTTGAAAAAACAACAATGCAATGTTTAAAGTTGCTTCAGGCCAAGACAAACTTAGCTAAGATATTGTGAAAGCCAAAAACACTTCTTAATGTACACTTTTCTTAGTTTTAAAGTTCAGGTAACTATAGAATTTCTCCTGGAGAAACTTTCTAGCTACGGTATTGTGATTAGCCATTCAATGTATTTCATGTAGTTGTTGAAGTGTGTTCTGGATTGCAAGCCATCTCTTTTTGTATGTAAATTTCTGGATTTTTGCAAAGGGAGGAGCCAACTTTTTGACCTTTCCCAAAGAATTCAATATTCAGGGTGGGAAGGGGTAACTCTGTTATGCAGTTGCAAAACTAGAAAGAGTGTATAGCACTAAACAGCACAGTTACATTAGTTCACCATTACTTTAAGCAGTTGTGGCTCCATCCTTCAGAATTACCTGTTGCTCCCCTGAACCGCAGCACTAAAATTTCCTCACTCTCGAGAATTCTAAGCACCTGAAGCAAACTACAAATCCCAGGATTCCATAGGATGGAATCGTGAAAGGTATTAGTAAAGGTAAAGGTTCCCCTTGACAATTTTTGTCCAGTCGTGTTCGACTCTAGGGGGCGGTGCTCATCCCCGTTTCCAAGCCATAGAGCCAGCATTTTTGTCCAAAGACAATCTTCCGCGGTCACATGGCCAGTGCGACTTAGACACAGAACACTGTTACCTTCCCACCGAGGTGGTCCCTATTAATCTACTCGCATTTGCATGCTTTCGAACCGCTAGGTTGGCGGGAGCTGGGACAAGCGACGGGAGCTCACTCCGTCGAGTGGATTTGATCTTACGACTGCTTGGTCTTCTGACCCTGCAGCGCAGAGGCTTCTGCGGTTTAGCCCACAGCGCCACCACGTCCCACGTGAAAGGTATTAAACTGACATAACTATATAGTGGAGATACACTCCAGGCTAACCTGTGGCAACTTAAAGCCACACAAACTTTGTGTGGCATAGGTTCTATGGAGTGAAGCCCATCTCATCAGAGGCATGGAGTGTAACCTCAGCAAGTAGATATTTATAGATGGTAGGAGTGAAATTTGAAGTACAAAAACAGAAATACAAAAGTTACCATTCGTTGTTAACAATCACTGGCAAATATCATGTTGTATAAGTTAAGTGTGCAGAAAGGAGACAAGATCACAAGGAGAGAGAGATTTTAGATAATTATAGACTTCCTCCTTCCATCCTGCAGTTTCTCTGACTTGCGTGGAAACCACTAGAGCAGCAGGACAGAGACTTTACTCACTGAAAATGGGGGGGAAAGTCTCTGCCTGCTTCCCCGAAAATAAGACAAAGTCTTATATTAATTTTTGCTCCAAAAATGCATTAGAGCTTATTTTCAGGGGATGTTTTATTTTTTTTTTCCATGTACAACAATCTACACTTTTTTAATGGTGGGAAGAGGAGTTTCACTTAACTGGGGCTTATTTTTGGGTTAGGGCTTATATTACAAACAAGCATCCTGAAAAATCATACTAGGGCTTATTTTCAGGGAAACAGGGTGGTGATGTAATCTATTATGGCTCCCACAGCTTTCTCAGACAAAAGGGATAACTCATGAGTCAGAAAAGACTGGGGATGAAGGAGGAAGCCTTTAATCACCAAAAATCTCCCTCTGACAGTGAGATCATCATCCTTCTGCAGGTGTAACTTACATAACAAGATACTGGCCACATGGAAGTGACAGCAACATATACGTATTATCATTAACAGTTGTTCCAAGGTCACTTATAGAAGCCAAACACTTCTGAACTTAGATGGGAAATGTTTTGGTTTGCTGTCTATGGCATTCTGGGAGTTGTAGTACTCCGAACAAGGCTGGTATGGTAAAGCAAAGTCTTTGTCCGTCAGAAAAGACAGAAGGAAGAGGTTGAGAAAACTGCCCCATTTGGGGTTATAATTACAGACAAAGGGTTCAAATGGAACATTTTCTGTTCTCCACGCCTTCCAGAGAGCCAGGACACAGGCAGTGGCAACGGCAGCACCACTTCCACTTCCACCAAGGCCGAAGCCAACAGCTCCTCCAAAGCTCGGAAGGAGCGCACAGCGTTCACTAAGGACCAGCTGCGGGAGCTGGAGGCAGAATTTGCACACCACAACTACCTGACGCGGCTCCGGCGATACGAGATTGCAGTCAACCTCGACTTGACGGAAAGACAGGTGAGGTTCCTCCTAGTCTTGAGACTCCACCTCTGTTTGTGTTGTCTTTTATCAGATAACAAGAGCTGAGTGTGTCACCCAGCCTGCCCTCATTTCCTGTATAGGTTTTCTGCCCTTAGGAATGGTGAAGCATGCTAGCCTCCTTAACGGTGTTAAATGTAAGAGTTAATTGACATCCCCCTTTTCCATGGAATAGGAGAGAGTGCTATCCCACCCCTTGTCTCTGGCAGGAAAAAGTCTTGAATAATAGGCCCTGACACTGCACCTCACCTCCAAATATAGCAATGAGTGGTATGTTTTGCAAAAGTAACCTGGAGTCCATGAATAATACTTGCTTGCTTGTTTGGTACCATTTCCATTTAGACTGGGGGGTCACATACGGCCAAAGGCCACACACGACACCCACCTACCCACCCACAGCCCGGTAAGGCAGTATTTTCATCAAAACTCTTGAATACAGTGGAATGCTTTTTTCAGCTTTAGGTGGAGGCGGTCTTTCAACCCACTCCTGAGCCATACCAAAATGACTCAAATGACTACCAAAAGTTGCTCGCTTCCAGCTAAAGACAGACACATCTATTAAACTTGATTTTGCTTATTTTCCTACTATTGGCTTACTTCCATCTAGTTTGTGCACTGGGTTGTGAGTTACTATTGTTTGCTTTGCATGGACATTCAAATAAATGTTTATGTGCATGGTTTAAAAAATATGTATTGGAATGTATTTTTAATGCACAAAGTTTTTTCACCAGGTTTTCCTTTTGACCAAGGGATTTTTGGATTCATTTTTTAAATCTGCTTTTCATGTGAACAGTTTCAGAACTATAACATACACATTTTAATGTATGTTTATCTTTTTCAAATGTACCTCTTAATGTTTTTGATTTTATACTTAATTACAGTTTTTAGAAAAGCACTGATTTTGAGTCTATTTTGTGCTTTGGTTCAAGATAGGCAAATTTATTAAATTTCCATTCAGTGCAAAATGAATTAACATCTCAACTAGCTCTGCTCCTGATGCACTTGAAAGTATACTTTGCCTTCGCCTTAGAAATGCTTGTGTGCAGTTTATTGCTGGTTTGTGTTGCAGCTACTGCTCTGTAGGGTTTAAACACCGGTGGCTGTTTGCTGTTAAATTACTGCTGGAAAACCCAATATTTGCTTAGCTCCTCCTCCTGCTGTTGTCATGAGCTGTCACGGAGGCATAGCATACGAACGGTTTTGGCATCAAAAAAAAGAGGCTACCTTTGTGGTCCTTCTCTATGCAGAAACAGCTGGAACTTTTCAAAGACATCATCTCTTCTCTCACACAAGACCAAAGCCAGACATGATGTGGAAAGTCCATGACTGGATGTCATCTTCCCTCCCCCTTAAATAATGGGTATAAAAGCAGGTTTGAGTTAAAAGAGCAGAAAGGGGGGTGTTCATGATGCTCTTCAGAGGAAGAGGGTTCAGTGCACTTAAATGACTGTACTGCTCAGGCCTTTTACATTCAGGATAGCAAAACCATGGCGGTTTTGATGGTGGCAGTCGGTCTTTTCTTTCCTTGCTTCAGACTGCAAATTAGTTTAGTGCCTCACCAGAATACTATGACAGTCAATCCCTTCCATCTTTTGGGAGACTCAAACAACTGATCACATGAGGAAAACACCCCTCCAATTGCACCAGCTTGGGAAAAAAAATAGAAGCATCCAACAGCAGAAGGGGAAAAAAACCTCTACAGTAGGACTGTGGCATTTGTGGGATCAATATCCACAGCTTCACTTGTCTGTTGCCGAAAAACCTTAAATAACACAAACACACACACACACTCCAATATGCGTTTCCAAGGTGTATTGCCAGAACTGGCCAGAGATTATGCTATATATAGGGTTTCTATACTCATGCTTTCCGATATCTGGGAGGCCGGGCTTGAAACTGATTCCCCACAGATACTGTGGTCCTGCTGTACTTCAAAAGCAGAAAAAGGCCAGGATGATTTTTATTGGCCCTTGGGTTGTGTGATCTCTTTTTTTTTTAAATGAATGCGCCCATTTTACTTCTGCAGCAAATCCTGTGCTATTTACCCATGTAATCTCAGTTTAAATGTATAAAAAACATTACAATCAAGTATGCAATTAAAAGCAATACAGGGGGGCAGGTTAAACATCAGGGGGGTATGTTTAATCTGCCCTAAAAAGTCTGAAAAGCCGTGTGTTCACATTCTTTTTAAAATCAGTCAGAATGGAAATCAATCACATCTCTGCAGGGAATGCATTCCCCAGTCTGGGAGCTACACCAGAGAAGGAAGTCCCCCCACCCCCGCCATGTGCTCGATAGGCAAGCCTATATTCTTAAGACATCCTTCTTAACTCTAGAGAAATATCAGTGTACACAGAAAAGCACGTTATGCTCAATGTATGCCTTTTCCCTCTTCACATGCAGGTTAAAGTATGGTTTCAGAACCGCAGGATGAAATGGAAACGTGTGAAGGGGGGACAGCCGGTGTCACCCCAGGACCTGAACATGGAGGATATGGACTCTGCGGCCTCTCCCAGCTCAGAATAGCCCTTCCTCTGGTGACTTTGAAGGGATGATAAGCCAGTCTCTTGGCCTATCACTTCCTAACCAGATGGCGTTATTCCCACCCATGGAAGACTGTAATGTGACCAAGGAAGGTGGAAGGTGCCATTTTGAAAATATCTGCCTTTGCTTTCCGAAGCAGATTTCTTCTCTCCGCCCCCACCGACCTACCCTGCCACTTTTTTGGTACTCAATAATTTTTTTGCGAGCAATTAAAAGGGGAAATGGAGCTAAGCCGTGTATAGGTGGAATCCCAACGATTCTGATGTTAAGAAGACATGACATTTTAACAGAGTGACAGGCCACTTCGAAGCTGTGTTCACTCCCTATTTAACCCTCCCTCCCAGTTCATGTGTGTAAACTAACAACAACAGCCCTGCAGGTCTAAGGCAGGAAGCAGGCTGTGTACGATCTTGACTGGTTACCCCAGTTAAACACCACCCAGAAATTCTCACACAGCCAACTTCTGTTTTCTGCTTAAAAACAAAAAACTTCTCTTTCTCTCCCAAAAAAGGTTTCTGTTAAAAAAAGAGCAATGAATGAATTGAAAGAAGTGAAATATGCTTGAAGAAAACTTGCAGCTGTCTGGACAATGATGGGGCTCATATTTGTGGGGAACATAACCTGGGAATTTTGGTGCCAGGTCCTCCGCCAACCTGGTCTACAAACTGCCCATGACTTCAGATGTTGTTCGACACTGGGTCCTACCATCTTTCACCCCTGAACACAGGGCTGATGGTGCTTGGAGTCCAACAGCATCTTTCAGGTCATAGGTTCCTAGTTCCCGTTTTACAAATGCAGGCAGAAGTTGGCCAGCTAGCTCATCTGCAAAGCCGGCCTTGCACAACAAGCAAATAAAGAACGCTTCATGAAATCTGTTTCTGTATTACATCTGTCTTCATTTTAAGCACTCTTAACTGCACTGTTTCTAGAGATAAGGCATTATTGGAAGTAATGCTCAGCAGGGCAGCTGATCTGGTGAATCTGAGCTGGAAAACATTTTCACTGAAGCAGTGAAGCCTCTATTTTCTTTAGGCCACAGCTTTTAGGCCTCAAATAAGGATCCACACTACTAGTTCCAGCTTAGAGGAGGCAGGGATCATCCCTCCCCAAGACCATGTGTTTGCTGGTGGGACCCTGGACATAGTTTTAGCCAGCAACTGTACTCTAGCAACCCGATTGTATTAAGCTGCAGAGAAGCTGAGGACTTGCATGGAGGGCAGCCCTGCTTTAACAGCTCAGAAGCTACTGCATTTACCATCTTTGTGTCAAAACAGATGTAACATTTTAAGCAGTCTGCCCTTTTTAAAATCTCAGCTTTATGCACAGTTACCTGAGAGTATGTTTTATGGAATGGAGCAGGACTTAATTCTGACTAAAGATGCATAGAAATCCCACTGATTTGTATACCAACCAGGCATGATGAAAATAGGGTCAGTGATCATTCTTGCCCCTCACTGTTTGGATAAGATCTCTCCATTCCAAACAATATATTATAGTGACATGTATTGTGTGTTTAGCTTAATATTCATTCATGCTTCTCATATAAAGGAGCAAAACCAGCCCTAACTACTCTGTGGCTTGAGAAGAGCTGGCGGTGATGGCATAGGCAACGGCCAATAGGCATCTGCTACAGCTAGCTTTTCTCCAGTTCTCACTATGTCACACTGGAAACCTGGACCACCAGGTTGTACAATAATTGGCCTCTTTTGAGTTCCATACGTTTGTGCATAAGAGCGAAACACAAAGCACTTCAGGCTCTGCAAAACTCACATAACTCCCTGTAATGTCATGTGCAGTAGAATCCTATAGCTGGAATCCTGTTGGCGTCATGCATTGTGAATCGGGAATAGTGGAAGCAGTGTGTGCAATCTTGCTGACAGTCCATTGTGTGCCCTCTGACACACCCAAATTGTGCAACTGGTTGTGCTCTTGGTCACATGTACCGGGCACATGACAGATGACAAGCAAAATGTGAAAAATAGTGGTGTGATTGCCATTATGCATACAGTATTTTGCAACAAAAAATTTGGCCCTTATGTGTTTTCTCAGATGTAAGTCCTGTTGTAACCAATGGGCTGTACTCTCCAATAAGTGTTTATAAGATTGTGTCTTTAGGCAGCTTTGCTGACTGTTATAAAAAAATAGATTACCACTAGTAATGTATAATAATAAACAAGCGTATATGTATATATTTCAGGGATGTATTTCCAAGACCATAAAACAACAGCCGGGATCTTCTGGCAATGTGGGTAGAGCACAAGGCTCTACAGGCAATGTTCTGTGACCCTCAGCTTGCCATTGCAGGAGATAGGTTCATTGGTTCCAGTGGGGATTATGCTTCTGCAAGTAGATACTGGATACCTGCTTTTGCAAGCTTGAAAGCAGCTCCACTACTTATACAACAGAATATAGCACAACAGGGCAATAGGATTTTCACTGTAGACACTTGAAACATGTCATGCATTCTAATGGAACTGTGAAATGTGCATATTTGGTTCTTAAGGTGCATTAATTGATATGTGTCACTACGTTTGAAGTCTGCAGTAGCATTTTTAGTCACAAGATGGCACACTTTTATAACCAAGACATAAGCTTGCAGTCAATACGGTGTGAAGCTGCAGGAGTAGCTTGATGGGTGGTTATAGGGTTGTGCCTCCCCTCTTCTGGTGTAGGGCAGTCTCTTTACCTGGTATGTGGAGGGGAGGCCTCCTTAATGGGGCTGTAGGAACACACCATGGCAACAAACATGCCTAGAGGTCCAAGTGGACATAACTGCATTCACATAGGGGAAAGGCAAATGTGTCCAATTCAAACAGTGGCAAAACTCTTCCTGAAGGCTTTGATGAATCAATTTAAGAGTTGTTCTGACCTGTCCAAAGCTAGGTATTTTAATTAGGAAATAATAGCACAATTAGTGTTGGACCAGAACTGGCATAATAGAATTTGCTGCATGAATATCAAAACTCATCAGCTGTGATTAATAGGTTACTTTGTTGGTTTGAAGTGTGAATTGTACTTTGACCTGATATTTGTTTGTGAAACACATTTAGAACTCAGAACTTTTCTGGAAATGCTGGGCAACTTCCATGTTGTTAAATCAGTCTGCACATTTCTGAGTCTTAATAGCTGGATTTTATTTTTCTGCTTGCTAGGCCAAGCTGTCCCTTCTATTAATGTAGAATTCACTTGTACAATACCTAAAGAAAGTGAAACACTGTACTAATAAATTATAAAAGGGATCTCCTATGTGTTTTTGGCCTACTTCTGATCATTACACTAGAAAGTCAGTTTTTGCTTCTTTTTGTCTGGTGAGGAGATTTTGTTATGTCTATGGCCTAAATCCAGTTGATGGTCCCAACTAGAGCAGATCCATTGACTCAGTAGATGTACTCTGTTTGAGACTAGCCACAGGAAATAAGCCCATGATTTTTTTTGTATGTCTAAGGATGTTTAAGGATTTCCCTGTTCTAATTATGTGCAATTTCTGCCCTGCACATCAGAGTCACTACTAATCAAAAGATCTGACTGTTTCAACTCTAAATCCACCAGGATAAAACTAGTTCAGAATTACTGCAGGAACGATGAGAGGGAAAAGTACCTATAGTTCGCTCAAATTCTTGAAAGGTAGCTGGAAGCCAGATCTAGCCCTTTTAAAAATATTGGCTCTTCCTAAAACTGTAGCTGACGGGTGCCACAAAAGGAATGTAGAGGTGATACACCAGAAGAAAATGCTTACCAATCAAAGGACTGGAAATCGTTGGAAATGAGTCTTGACCAGGAATTCAGTATCACCCGAGGGTCCTTGGGAGTGGTTGAGGGGAAATGACTTTGCCATAGCACATGAGAGTGTCAGACCTGGACTGAGAACAGCCCAAGTCATCCAAAGGAGGAGGAGGAGGGAGTAATGGGGTACAGTTCTACAGTGCTCAATCTGTCTCTAATCGTAGAAACCGCAGAGGAACAGAGGAAGTGGGAAAATGTTAGATTTTACTGTGTGAGCCAGGACAGCCTGGAGTTCACCCCAACCTCTATTTCCAGGTTATGACTGAGCCCTGGGAACTTTTTTTTCCCCTTCTGTTCTTTCCAATGGGCCGAAAGCATGCCCCTGACAGCCAGGTTTCTTCCACCCTTTGGCCAGCAGCTATAAAAGCATCCCATAAAGCCTTCCTTCTACTCTTCTTTTATTTTGCTTTCTCACTTTGCTTCTGAGTTTATTCATGGTCTTACCAGGATGGTTCCAGCTTGTTCTGTATTTCTGCACATTTGGCTGTGTCTTGCATTCCTGAATCAAAATTTAAAATCAAATTTGGACAGAACAAATGGAAAGGAAAGGATAAAAATGTGGAACTTCTCACGGGTGTTCCTCTCTTATTAGAGACTGGATGTCATCATAGCTAGATAGAAATGTATTGTAAAACTACAAATGGAATTTTGAAAATACACAAATGAAGTTCTTGAAATCTGGTTATACCTATGTGTATTCCCTTGGGATATTCCAGCCAGCAGAGGTTGTGATGCTGGAGGAGAGCTTTGTGGATACTCTGGACTGCCAGAAAAATGAATAAAAGTGTCCTAGATCAAATCAAGCCTGAACTTAATCTGGAGGCAAAAAATGTTGAAGCTGAGGCTGTCTCACTTTGGGCACATTATGAAAAGGCAGGACTGTCTGGGGGAAAAAAGTAATGTTTAGAAGATGGAAGGCAGCAGGAAAAGAGGAAGACCAAATACAAGATGGACTGACTACTTAAAGGAAGCCACAGAACAACAACAACAACAACAGAGGGGGGCAGTTGAGAACAGGGTATTTAGGAGATTGCTCATTCCTAGGATCACCATGAGTCAAATTGGCAGCATACAACAACAACAACAACAGAGGATTGTGGGGTAGGTTGTGGGCTACTTATTCTTTCTAAGATAAAACAAGGAGGTTTTTGTAGTGGGGACCACCAGTTTTCTAGAGGAGATTCCACACTGAAGCTTTCTCTTTATGTTTGGATCCTTGCTTAAAGGAAACAAAAACAACTTTTACTGATAATTTATAGCTTTGTTCTTTTATATATTTGTACAGTGGGAAACTGTAGCTCCACACATCTATCCCTGTCAAATGGAGGGCAGGAGAAAGGTGGCTAACGAACAAAACAACATGAAGGCAAGCGCGGTCTCAAGGACTCTGAAATGCAGGAAAAAATATCTTATGTTGGATGGCAGATACAGTGTGTGGTCACCACAAAAACCTAGGGGAAACATGCAAGATTGTACTGTTTCCAACAGTGCACACATACAGATAGAGCAGTTGTGAAGCTGGCAAAATGCCACTTCTGCATATCTCAGATTGTATCCGTACCCCACACATGCATGCATGACAGTTGGAAAATAAACATTATTTTTGGGGTAATAGAGATAAATAGTTGTTTAACCATAATGATGGAAGGTCCTTACACACTGTCTCAGTTTCACATCAGAATAATGTCAATTCTTACTCCAATCTGTAATTGCAATAGTAATTTTTTAAAAATATTGGAAAAGGAAAGTCAACCTCTTCTTTTATCACTCTAAATAACTATTGATTTAATTCACGATATTTTTATCTTGGCAGATTGATTTCAGCCCTAAACTTTACTCATTATTCATTTGGATCTCTTTAGGATTTCACATAATGGTCTTATAAAAAAATGGGAACAGGAATTTGTATGGAGAGGGGCATCAATATAATTTCTCACAGTGACATTTCCTTTTGGGTAGGGTGGAGCTTTTCTCCACTCCCCCCCCCTTCAATCAATAAGATGGAATGAACTACTCTACCATTATAGCTTACACCCTGTTTTTTGGGCAGGGGGGGTTGCATGTCAGGAAATAAGGAAGCTTTAGAACCAGTGGATCTTCACCAAAGCCAACCCAGCCCGCCTGTCTCCCTCCACTTTGCCCCCACTGCTGAAAATCTACGCAGACTCTGCAATTGAGCCAGGGATGTGGAGGTTGTGTTAAGGTCTCTCACTGAAATTGACCTTCTCCTAGAATGAGCATGCTCAGTGGCTGCAGATTGCCATATCCTTCTTGTGAAAGAAGACAAGTGCAGAAACAGAATGAAGTACTGTATCTGAGAAGATGGGATATGATGGAACATTGAGTTGGAGCACTCCATACTGAAGCAATTTGTTGCATGTTCCATTTGTATGTTTCTGGAATAAAGCAGCACAATGTTTTCAGTACCAAGCCTAGAAATCTCACTGCTGCATTTAGACACTTAAAACGACACCAACTTGCCCTTTGCACTAATGCACTCTTGTGTATGAGCTTATTGGAGTTTTGTAAGAGACATTCTAGGGTTTTCCCTCTCATTTTTGAATAAAAAAGGTAATTAAAAATATTCAAGCAACAACATTGTGCAACCTGACACTTCCACTATAAGGATTTCTCTTAGTCCTTTTACGTGTCTTATTTGTTGAGTTAGGGTGCAATCAGACGGGCATTTAGCCCACTGTTTGGTTTGCTGCAGGGATGGGTTGGCTTGCTCCTTTTTCTGGCTAACATAATGGCTGGAGCAAACCAAATTATCACCAGTGCATTCCTACCTTCACTTTTCTTAGCCCCTGTGAGGGACTTCTCCTTTTTTGGTATGGGTAGGATCGCTGCGGTTTGGTCTGTTCCCAGAGAGTGTGCTCACTGGGAATGGACCAAAAGTGACCCTTCTTGCTGTAGAGGCTCCTTCCAGTTGGAATTTTAGACATTGTGAAGTGGCTTAATAAGTTAGCCACTGAGTTTCAAATTCAGCTATTGGCAATTTCACAATCTCTAGAAGACAGGGCAAATAAAAAAAATCTTATAACTAGAGATGGGGGTATTCGTATACAAATATCCCCCCACAGGTGCAGATAACAAGGGTCCAGCCCCCTGGGACCAGTCCAACCACTCACAATTCTGCCATTGCCGCAGAGCCTTCCTATCTCTCCGTTGCTCACGATGGATTAGCCACTCTGCAACCTGGCAAAGAGGCTTGTCATCCCACCTTCTGCCTGGACTGGCTAATCTATTGTGAACAACGGAGCAATAGGAAGGCTCCGCAGAGCTGGTGGCAGCGACGGAATCGTGAGTGGTCGGTCTGGCCCCAGGAGCTGGACCCTCATTATCTATACCTGTTGGGGTATATTCGATACGAATACCCCCATCTCTACTTATAACTGATGCAGTGCATTAATGATGGTCTCCACTCAGCCATAAAACTCACCGAGTGACTTTAAGAGCGCTATGTTCTCCCAGTCTGGCCTCCCTCACAGAGTTGTTTGAGGATAAAACAGAGGGAGGAAACACACTTTGAACTAATTGGAGGAAAAGTGGGTCACAAATATAGCAAATACATCATTTAATATATATAACAGTGTCTGACCAGAACAATTAAAGGGGCAATTAAATTCCACTCCTAGACTTGCTTGGTGGCATTGTCAAATGAAAGACCCCAGATTTTTGGACTTTTCCACAGTGTCTGTGGTTCTGGGGACTAAGGCCATACAAATCTTTTCAAAATTTCCCATGATGTCAGCAAAGCTGGCCTGTGATACCGTGGCTTCCTAACACAAGAATTTCACACATACAGCAAGTCTAGCTTGGCACCATCTTTGTTTAAACCATACAGGATGTTTTCCGTCAGAAAACCAAGCTGGTCCAAAGGGGAGAGATCTTGGCCATGAATGGTGGTTTGCAAACCCAAATCTGAGGCAGCAAGAGCAGCAGCAAAACATATGGTTTCATCCCTACTCTCCCTCAATTCCTGCTGCTGAAAAATATCTGTGAGTCTAATTTAAAGACCAGCCCCTGTAGCCGTCAGGATTACGGCTTGGTGAAAGGCCTCCGGAATGGATACTTGCCGGTGGGCGCGTTTCTTGCCAATTTGCCCTAATAAAGGTGTCCAATAAAAACATGACACTTCCTTCTCCAGGAGGCATTACTTAAGTGGATCTGACTGCATTTCATCGGGGAGCCAGGCCAGTAAGAAACAGAAAGCGGCGGCTTCAGTTTCTCTTCCCTTCGCTTTCCGAAACTTATGACACATCCGTGGCAAAGTCGATTTAAACCACCTGCTGCTTTTTCGACGCTCTTCCCCACCCACCCTCTCTTTTCCTTGGCTTCTCAACCGTAAATTGCATCTCTCCCTGCTCAAGCTTCTGATGTCTTCTGTTCATCCTCCCATTGGGCCTATTGTGAGGGAGGAGGAAAGCAGGGTGCAAAATACATATATATAAAA